CCATATATTACGTATATGACATGCAACTGAGACCACGGAAACATTTCCCTATTTCTGTAGTCACGGACACCAACTTGCGAGCTACGAAATTCCAAACTCTCGCTAACACCTGTCACCAAGTTTATGAAACTTCAATAAGTTTTCCTACGTAAAATACTAGACTCCACGGTAGCGTTAGGAGCATTGCAATCAGGGGAATGGTTCTCCGAACTTCCACGGGACTTGATTAATTCGATGATTTCTTTTCCAAAGGGATAACCTCAATTTGTCGTGAAAAACTTTCGAATCCATTTTATAGAATTCGTCGCAACGAATTGAAAGGCAAATTTCCCTAGGGGAGAATTATTTTAATGGACTTTTAATGAGCGAAAAAACATCCATTTCAACATCGAATAAAGTTCCAATTATTTTTCATTTCTGCATCTAAAAAAAAAGAAAATGCTCCATTGAGTTGAAAAAATACATTACATTATGCACACAATTAACGCGTGAATTTATTCATCTGCACCAGTGCAATCATTGCAATGAAAATGATTTCCATTCATCCCATCCCGTATAATTACTGAATAAATACGAGTGACAAAGTTTGAGCTAAATCGAGGGTATTCACCCGTAAAACCCCGGTATTTTCACGTTAAATATTCCTCTCACCGCGAAACCTCCTCAAACAGAATCAAAAAGACTAAGAAATTTAAGAAAAATATTTGGAATCTCTTTTACGCTGCCTCCCACAATGACTCATATCGGCCAAGAGCACTCTATTTTCCATTTAAAAAATACACAAAAAGTGCCACTGGTTATCAAACTCAATAACCTCACCCGCCATTTTCCGCGTTTTTGTACTCTTTTTTATCGTTCCCCCGAAAAAAAAACCATTAGGACTTTTCACCCAATAGGTGAGCGAGAGAATTAATCCCCCCAGTGTCATTCCCAGAATTTATCTCCCAGCAATTTGTCATTGCCTCAAAAAAAGAGTGATATGTCTACAGAATGTGAATGAGTGTGACTAATGGAGGACTAACGCTCGTGGCTTTTCCCACTCGTAAAAACGCCCGCATGGGGCTCTATTATTCTAGGATTTTATGAAAAATTTGAGAAAACCCGAAAAAAGATTCTAGGAATTTTTTGGTAACGCCAAGATTCTAGGATTTCTTGACAGTTTTAGGATTCTAGGATTTTTGTGAACATCCGGTGGAAGCCTAGGATTTTCTAGAAAATTTGAGAACATTCTAGAATTATAGGATTTTTTTGGGATCTAGGATTTTAAGATTGTTTAGAATCCTAGGATTCTGTGATTTTTGGAACATTGGGTGCACGTCGGAAAACTTTCACAGTATTTGAGACAATTCCGGATTTCTAGGAAATTTAAAAAATTCTAGGATTACAGGATTTTTTTGAAAATCCCAAGTTTCTAGGATTTTTGAGAATTTGGAAGAAGTCTAGGCATTTTTACAAAATTTGAGAAATCCCGAGAAAATGCTATGATTTTAGGATTGTCTAAAAATCCAAGGATTCTAGGATTTCTGTAAAAATTCTAGGATTATCGAATTTTTAAAACTTCTAGTATTCGAGGATTTTTGTGAAAATCCGATAGGAGCCTAGAATTTCCTAAAAACTGTCAGAAAATTCTAGGATTAGGAATAGGATTTTTTGAAAATTATAAACTCGAGAGAATGCTACGATTCTAGGATTTCAAAGAAAATTCGTTAGGAGTCTAGGATTTTCCAAACAATTTTAAAAAATCCTAGGATTATCGGATTTTTTTGAAAATTCCAAGATTTTAAGAATCTTCGAAAATTCGGTATAAGTCCAGGAATTTTCACAGAATTGAACGAATGTGACTAACGGAGGACTAACGTTCGCATGTAAAAATGCCCGTATGAGATTTCATTACTTCCCTCTCTACTACCTCTTTTTTCGGTAAACCCGAATGAACCTATTGATCGACCCCGTAACCACCGGTCTCTGCATTAATTCAATTGGTGTCTCAGGAACAACATACTACTAGGCAAGGTATCGCAGAGAATTACGAAGACACCTCATCATTATTTTGTGCTACATTATCACCTATTTTTTAACAACTTTTCTTCAAAAACAGTTTGTCTTACTTCTCACTCATGTTCACCCCAAGCTTTAAATATACATTCAAAAAACTATTTGAATATCATTCCAGTAAATTCAATTTTTGAATAATCCCCCACCGTCAAATACACCCCTAAAAAAATTATTATTCACTCCCACAAATGGCAATTTGCAATTTAATGGGAAATTTCTCCCAATCTAAACGCAAAAAAGGTGGGAAACCACATCAATTGAGCGATGTGTGAAGAGTCGAGACGTGCTTTACCCCAAACCCCTAAAAAAAATTCTATTTACCCCCAATCGAGTAGATTATTTTTCCCCACGTGTCAGAGGGTTGGAGTTGGAGAGTGGAGATCCCTGTGAACAGCAATTTCCCTGCAAATGCGACCACCCCGTTCTCTCTCGTTTCCAACTATTTCCCGGCGAGTCATGGCATTCCTCACTCCTTTTTTCTTTTCCCCCTTCATTCTCTTGTCACCCCTTGAGAAAAGGTCATGCGGTGTCAANAGAGAGAGAGAGAGAGAGAGAGAGAGAGAGAGAGAGAGAGAGAGAGAAAGGATCATAACGAAATTATCCTGATATCAAGTTTATCTTGACAAAATAAACTGTCCCTAGGACCCGTCCTGTCGTGTTTGTCCACTCGTTCGTCGAGACTGTCGTAATTTCTTTCTTCTCACACGTTTTTTTTATGCCCCGGTGATGATGGGAGAGGTTCAACGTTTTCGCATTGATGATTTTTATTTCGCTCACCGGAGAAACTCAATTTCGACGGCAATTCAATTACTATGTACGTACACCGGCCGGAGGCGGGGGATACATGAATTTATCGATTTTTCAGACAATAGCATTTTTCATGGGTTGATTAGGGCAACGGGGGGGGGGGGGTTTTTTT